GAATTGTAAAAGAGGAAATCCTTAAGATTGACATTGGCAAGCAACCGCCTTTGGACTGGGATGGCTTGCAAAAACCGACTAATAGCAACTTCTTAGAGAGCCTTGATAATGACATGTTTGAGATCTCTTGGCATAAATATATTTGGTATAAAAAGAATTCTCTTCGGTTCTCTGTTTATACTTGGATGACTATTTTGGGGAAGCTTAAGACTGCAGACATATTACTTAAAAGGAATATTATTACTCCTATTGTTTGAAGTTGTTGTAATAAAGATCATGAATGTCATAATCATTTGTTTTTCGAATGTGACCATTCTTTTTTGGGTTATTAAGAGTTTATTTCCTAATCTGGAAAATTTTCTTATGAGGCCCACTTTGATTCAAATCCTGGAGCATTTCGATCTCTACCAAGGTTTCTCTAATAATGTGAAGATTTTCTGCTACTTGGTTATCTCGGCAGTAGTTTATTACATATGGATGGAGAGAAATAAGAGGCGGTTTGATGGTCTCTGGGCAACGCCTTTAACTTTGATTATTACTATTAGAAAGAGCATTAAATTGAAAGTTAAAAACTGGAAAAATTTTGAGGAACTTCAAAATCTTTTTCCAGAAATTCTTTCTAAATTCTGGGTATTTTCTTTTGCGAGGTTCATGGTTTGGTTGCTGCAGAAGAATTTCTTTTAAAGGGAAGCTTTACTATCAGATTGGATTCTCTTCATGGGACGGCATGAAAAAGCTCTTTGATCACTCAAGTTTTCTCCTGTATTTCCACTGCTGGTTGGACCTGGCTAGCTCCTGGTCATTATACAATGATTGAAGATTTATTCAGAGAATGTCTCCTGATGTTTAGTCTCTACCTTTCTGGCATTCTGGTTTATCATTGTGGCTTCATCATTCTATCTTTATGATGGAATGATAAATTTTTCTTAAGTTTTTGTTGCAGATCGTTATTTTGTTGTTTTTTAGTTTTTTCCTTTCAGACCTTGTGGTATTTTTTGCCTTTCTTTTAGGCCTTGTATTTTTGTCATTTTTTATTTTAATAAAAAGGGCTATGCCCCAAAATTTACCCAAAAAAGTAATTTAAGTAAAATCTTGATTAATGTCTAATGTTTCATTTGGGATAAAATTTTTGTTGCTTTATTTATTTATATTGCAATCATAATTTATATTTAACCATTACTTTTTCGTCACTTCAAAAAAATTTATATTAGAAAGCTATTTTTCACAACAGCATCAAAAAGTTATTTTCTTTAAAGCAATTTTATAAAAACATTAAAAAAAACTATCTCAAATGAAGTCTAAATCTCAGCTAAATTTTTTTAAAAAATAGCTCCTCAAAATTTGATGTTTTTGCTAAATTTTAAAATGAACATAGAAATGGGAATGCAGGATTTAGTCATTAAAGTTTTGTTTGGGACAATTTTGTTATTACTTTCTGAAATAGTTTTGTAGTACAAAAATTTTTAATTCAAAAAAAAAAATTATACTAAAAATTTACTTCATAAAATAATAAAGAAGCTGTCCCAAACGATGATGATAAATGCCCATTTACAAAGCCTATAGGAAAAATTCAAAATTCCTTAGCAAATTTCATAGCCACTTTAGATACATAATTGCAAGAAATGAACAAATATTTTAAAGAATTTATTATAGAACTTTTAATTCTTCCTTCAATCTTGGATCATTGAGATGGATATCAATCATTCCAAATTAATAAAATTTATCGTTTTGCAACTAAGGCTTCGTTTGGTACAACTTTCTTACTGCTTTCTAAAGCAGTTTTTTAGTTTAAAAAATTATAGGAAGATAGAAAAAATGATAGTAAAAAATGGTCATAAATGAAGTCTAAGGCGTCATTTGGGACGGCTTTTTTATTGCTTTCTAAAACGGAGTTTTAGTACACTCCGTTTTAGAAAGCAATAAAAAAAACCGTCCCAAACGAAGCCTAAGTATTACCCTGAAGTTCTTAAAGAAAAGCTAAAACCAAAAATTCAATTAGAGCATCTTAGAATTACAGCACATCAAAATTAAATTTTCTTGAATTTCTTCACAATTTTCAATTTATATATATATCAATCATATATAACTCTCATTGATGGATTGATTGTATTCATCTTAACTTTATGTGTCAATTATACCAATTGAACAAACTTCTTAGCAATAAAAATTATCAAAAAAAAAAAATTATGAAATAAGATAAGAGAAAGTTTTCTTGTAAATTCATCACTAATACATTTTAAAAGCTATTACAATGAGTTTTGAAAATAAAATCAATGATTAAAGATATTCATGAAATATAGAAGCAAAAGGAAGATTTTAATATGCTTTACCATAATATTTAGATTATAAAAATTGCTTTATAAATTTATTTCATTTACAAAATTTCTTATTTAAATATTTTATCTACATTCATCACAAGTTTAATGGCATCAATAATTTTGATTGTTTTTAAATTTTTTTAAGATTCAATTGCAGAGTTGGATTCTGTAAAAAAAAGCTAAATTTTATAAAGCTCTATTTGTCATTATTATAATAAATTATTAAATAAATATAAATCATGATTAGCTTATGAGTTAGTCAGAATTATAATTTATTATTATAATTACAGCTTCCAATCAAGTTACTGTTAAAAATTTCCCCTTGAGGAGCTCCTTTCATCCACTTGCCACCAATCAAGTTATCAGTCATTTCAACTAGGGCTAAAAGCTACTCGTTGTTCGGTTCGATTAAAGCTCATTTGCGACCGTCTAATTAACTAAACAAACAAACTTGAATAATATTTTAAATACTCGATTCTTAAATAAACAAACTTGAACACTAATGCTTTCGGCTCATTTATGTTCGCGAACAACATCATTTGAAGTTCGTGAACAAGCTCGATAAGAAGCTCGATTCATGTTCGATTTTGAACTCGTGAATAAGCTCGATAAAAATAATTAATATTTGACTATAGAATTAATAAATATAAATAATCATTACCTTTGTTACATAGACAATTGCTTTTATTATAAATGTGTTTGTTCATAGATATCTTCATGAACGTGTTTGTTTGATAGTTAAAAAAATTCGTTAAATATGTTCGCGAATAAGCTCGATAAACACTAAACGAACGAACATGAACTGAACATGAACCGAGCATGAACACTCTTTAATTTAAATGAACCAAACATGAACACAAACGCTAAAGCTCGAACAAACATGAACCAAACTTGAACAAGCTGATATTAAATGAACACAAACATGAACACTCGCATACTCGACTCGGCTCGGTTCGTTTGCAGCCCTAATTTCAACACACCCTACCAACTCTAATAATGGGAAATCTCTTAGGAAGCATTGCCTTCTACAAGGTAGGCCCATTATGGTAAGTCTGAAAATTAAATGAATATGGTGTGCTCTTAGGATTATTTTTTTATCATTTTTAATAATTCCTATCCAACTTAAAATCAATTTTTTAAAAAAATCTCAAAATTAATTGAAAAAAATATTATCTTTCTCCTTGGATGAGATATAGTACAGATTGTTAGCCTGAAGGCCACAATCATAAATGTAAAACTGTGTGAGACTTCCATTTATTTTTTGTATAATTGTCAATGCATGTACATGTCCATACGTGATTAATGATCGTGACTTTAGAATCATGATTTATGATCATGAATACTTAGGCTTCGTTTGGGACGGCTTTTTTACTGCTTCTTAAAGCAGCTTTTTAATACAAATTTTAATTTTTTTACTAAAAAATTACTTTAAGAAGCAGTAAGAAAGTCATCCCAAACAAAACCTCAATTTGCACATTTCATGAGTAGCTTTTCATCTCTGATAACAATAACACAGCCAAACAAGGATATAAAAAAAATAACAAATATTTTAGATGCTAACTCAAGGTTTCATTTCATATGCAGACTTAGGCTTCATTTGGGACGGCTTTTTTATTGCTTTTTAAAACGGAGTTTTAATACAAATTTTTTTATTTTTGTACTAAAACTCCGTTTTAGAAAGCAATGAAAAAGCCGTCTCAAACGAAGCCTTAATCCAATATTCATGATCTCTACAGAAAAATCCAAAAAAGAAAAGCAACAATTTAATATTACTAACCAAAACAACAGTACTAAATCAATTCAGTGTTCTCTACATTGGACAACTATCCATGATCTTTATCCATTAGTCATATTCCTGAAAGTTTATCATTTTCATTTTCTTCAAATAAACAATCTCCAATCACCTTATTACAGGTGAGTTTTTCTTTTTAATATATATTTGCAGATAAAGTCGGTGCTTGAATCCGGCCCGCCCATCCAGATTCTCAAATTTACTTTCAACCAGTTCACATTGAGTTCGAGTGCTATGAATTAGCTGGTAAAACATGTCAAACAACATAAACTCTAGAATTTTTTCTTCCTTTTTAAGCATATTATGAGAAGATTTTGAAGTTTTCTTTGCCTAGTCATCAATATTTTCCAGTAGATAATGGAGAAAGAAATTAGACAAATCAGAAGCACAAGGAAGCAAGCTTATCGAAGGCTTCTTTGGGATTGCTTCAAGTAGGGACAAAATGCATGATTCAAAACCATCAAATGTTTGGTCCAGTTTCTTTGTTGTGGTTTGAGATTACATTATACTTTTTTTTTTTAATTTTGTTTAGGTTTTAATACGAAAGAAAACATATTTGATAACTTATGATGGTGGTGTTGATGGTGGCGGTGATGGCGGCGGTTGCTAGTGGGGCAGTAGCAGCATCTGATTGTTGTGGCTATTGCAATGAACGCATGGCTTGGCCATGGCTGTAGCAGTAGCAACCAACAAGTGCTGGCAACGGCTGGCAGCTGTGCTATTAGCAACTGCCAATATAGATGGTTATTTTTTAAAAAAACATAGATCACCTAAAAGTTTTTTAGCAGATTTTCAAAAACAACTTGATTTATTTTCAAAAGCAAAAAATAAAAAGCTGTACACACAATAAACATTTTTTTTAAACAGAAATGATGCAACCAGGTCTTAGCTTAACCAAGAATTTAAAACTATTATTAGAGTAACTCATGTTTTTAGCATACATATAATTCATATACTAACCAAAAGAATACAATAATACTGCAATAGGTATATCAATCAATAAGCAACAAGAACCTTTCTATTTAGCCAAGATTTATTACATACAAGAGGCTAGGCTTACTCATTCAATGTTCAGAGGTCAGATGCGACGCAAGGATGCCAACCTCTTCTCCAAGTCATTAACATCCGGCATCACAGGAGCTACAGTTCTGTCATCACATTATGCAAAAATTGAGTATTTTTTAAGTGATGGAGATAATCATTATGGAGTTGTGTTGCTTTTTATCGTATTGAATTGTGCTGTTAAGTAAAATAGATAGCTATTGAGTAAAAATGCCGTTAAGTTTGATTTTTGAAGCTATGATAAATGTACTTGTTTGATACAAGATTGTTGCTATAGTGACTTGAAAATACGATAATTTATTCATTCTTTACTATGGAGAATAGAGTCTCACAATTTGAATAACAGTTGAGACCAGTTTGAATACATAACACAGCCACGAAAAAAAATCAATTGATACCTTGGAGCTTTCTCAACTTTCGTGGTATTGGCCGCAATGCGACCTTTTGGAGCTGATGACAACTGCAAGCAAACAAAATCCAAGTAACAGAGTCAGTTCAAGATTGCTGCTCCTTCTGTGAGGTAAAAAAAGCACACAGATGTGAAACAAAACATCACCTGCGATGCAATATCAACGCCAATCTCATCAAGCACCTAACACCAGAGATTGTATTCAAATGGAAAATTTTAATCCCATATAACTGCTTTTTGCAAGAGATTGTATTCAAATGGAAAGAATATATCTGTGAACTTGTATTAAGGATGAAAAACTTACTTGGTTGGTTAGTTCCTCTGTTTCCTCTTCTGCTTCATCTTTGTCCAAAGTTTCATCAATTGCCTCTGACATCATCTCAAGCTGCATTGAAGAAGTAGATGTCCTAACTTAGTTTAGAAAGTAATGAGAATGTAGAGATAAAAAGGAAACTCAGATTAGCTTGTATATCATCTTTTCTGATAGCAGTGAAAGTGAAGCATGTTTACAAGCTCAGAAGGTACCTAAAGAACAAAATTTGAAGTCACAGTAAAAAAATGCAAATAACCACAAATGCAAAATTGGAAGGACTAGTGTGCCTAATGATATTTCTTTGTAGGATTGGTCGCTTGTGAGTTTGTTTTGATGAATTTTCATAATTTAAAATAAAATGATTTCTATTATCTTATCCAATAAAATGATTTCTATTATCTTATCCAATATTGTCATATGTGCTAAATAAAATATAGCAAGAATTTTCCTGATTCATGATCCTGATATTCTAAGTGTTGCCGTAGCACTCATGCATGAGATCTTCATTAAGTACCTCTTTTCCTGGATCTTCTCTTCTTTTGATTTTTCCCAATTGCAATTTACCTTCTCCAAAGGCCTTTGCTAATCTCTGGATGATCGTCTCAACTAAAGTCATACTAGTTTTTTTGTAACAGTTCGAATTAGATTTGTCTCTAGAAACCAAAAAAAAAACTTTCATGTTGCTAAGCATGTCGAAGCCCCATTTACTTTGGATATTTAATAAGAGGTAGTTAATAGAGCTGCCAATTTTGAAAGACACAATCTACCAAAGGTGGCAACATCAAAAAATGAGTCATGGAAAGCCTCTGAAACTAGAGGGGTGAATGGGCATGTTGCATGTACCTATAAAATTGATTAAGTGAGAGGTTGTTGCTAACACCGTTGGAACCAAAAGTCACACTCAGCTAGCATAGTTGTAAATTAGTAATGTAGAAATATAGAAAAATAGCAAAGCTAGCATAGTTGTAAATTAGTAATGTAGAAATATAGAAAAATAGCAAAGTAAAAAAAAAACTACTTAAATTTTATTATTTGATTATGCACAAAGTGTAACACTATTGTTGTCGGGTCTCAAGCCTTACATAAGAAAAATATAAGGTTAGATTAAGTAGTCAATAGCTAGCATAAAACTTGTCAAACAATCATAACAATAATTCTTTAATATTACTGATTTCTAACCACCAACCAACCCAGCCGGCCCCACTCGCGCAACTGCTCTCTCCCAAACGGTGCTCTCAAGTGTAACTTCCCTCACATAACTACCTCTCTCGCTCTCAATTAAATACATGCGCACACAAGAACCGAACATCTCACGCTCTCTCAAAACCGAACGCAAGAAACTCGCGAAGGCTCCCTCCCGCTCTCACAATCCCACACGTTGGATCCTCAGCCGCTACACGCGCATTGATCCCATATGCACCGAACCTTGACGTCGTCTACTAATTCACATGATAAGAAATAAAACCTGAAAAATCCTGACCATCCTCACACTCCTGCTCCTCTGCCTTGACCTAAAATCATTTAACAACATATAATCTATGATGCACCGCACGCCTCTTAAAGAGGGTATGCAGTGTCGGACACGTGTCGGACACGGACACGCGTCGGACACGGCATGGACACGTGTCCGACACGGCATTGGAGTGTCGGAATTAAAACATTAAAATTTAAATCGGACACACGTGTCTGACACGCGTGTCCAGTTATTAAATGATAAAATCGTCCGTTCTATTTAGCCATTTCGCGAACAAGAAGCCCTATTTTTCCGATCCACGAAAGAAAT